GCATGGGTGGGGTCCCAAGGGAGGGTTGCCAATGAGTGGCAATTGTCTCAGGTTTTATAAGGATCTAAGGGTTAAGAAAATAAGCCTCCAGCCCACTCTTGGTAAGGCATTCAGGGACAATGTGCACTTCATGTGCCATTTCTTCCCCTCATGTTAAGATCACTGTGTTGAAGTTTATCCCCTTTTTAACAGATGTCTCACCCTTTGTTTGAAGCTCGGCCTTGCATCTGTGGTCTTTGTATTCTGTTCCACTGTCGTCTTTCTATTAGGAGAAACTTGACTTTGGTGAGTGCAAGTCTCCCATCTGCCTACCCAGCTCTTTCCCTACCTACATTTTAAGGTGTGAGTCATATTTTGTGTGTTCCATGTTGATTGAGACTTCAGGCATCACACGGTCTCCAAAGAACTCCTCAAGATTTGCTCAACTGGTGAATTACTTTGGAGACAAAGGTGAGAACATAATTACATTAAACGAGTCACCTATACTCTCCCTGGGGAAGCTGTCTCCCAATAGTCACCCTCAAGGTACTTCTGAGCCCCTTTCCATTCAATTTTCTACCAGTCTTGGACATTTAGGTGAAGTTCATTGCCAATATTCAAAACAATATGGCCCTCAAATTGGGCCTACTATTTTTGGCAGCTCTTTCATTTTCAGTCGCTTTTGGACACAGAATTGGCATCTGAGTCACATCTTTTTTCTGTCATAAGCATTCCAATTCCTCAGAAGAGCTGTCTGGATAATTCCATACACATATCTGTTCCAAAATGAGATTTTAAGGGACAAAACCAATGTCCTTCAGTGCTCAAGAAAACCTCTTCTAGTGGTAGGCACTTCCCTACCAACTGCAGGAGGAAGTAGAGGGGCATGACCCACAGATCCTTCTGTCTACATCACACCACAGGAACACCAGAGGCTCCCCACTCTCTTGACAAACAGAGAACTCCATTCCTTCACACTCAATGCCCAGGGTCAGTCCTCACTAGTCACAGCTAGAGGTGCAACAAGGAATAGAGGCGATGGAGTGCATCTGGAGTGAAACTCAACACCACACACCAAACCATCCTTAGCTGACTGCACCAGGATAAGGCAGATGATAAGAATGGATCCAAAACAAATGTGAGACACAACTGGGCATGGCAGGGCCTGCCTTTAATCCCAGAAGATGGGAGGCTGAGGTAGGAGGATGGAAATTTCAAATCCAGCCTCTGTAACATAGTGATGCCCTATTCAAATGAGTGATAGCTTCTCTCGAAATGAAAATGAAAAAAAGTGGCTGGCTCAGTGCTTAAGCTCCTCTGTGTTCCATCCTAGATTAAAAATATATAAATAAATAAATAGCAGAGACACATCCATCTCATCGGCAGGGCAAATTTAGCACAAATACAAGAAATTTCACAAAACAAAAAGACCTGACACCTCCTACATTCTATAACTTTCTTGGCACTGATGCCAAATATTTGAACTTGCCAGACAAACTATGCAAAACATTAAT